GAGCCCCTCACTCGGTAAATACCTGAATAAAAACCTTAGTCTCAAAGAGGCTAGTTAAAAAGAAAAAAAAAAAATTTTTCAAACTTTTAGTATAAACTATACTTTGTCTAACCTTAACCCAACTTTAATAACCTAATTAAAAGGTTTATTTTTGTAAAAACTAAATTGTTATGATTTATATATTATATCAATTTTATATTTACATATAAAATAATACTATAATGCTATAGCACTATAATAATATTCTCTAATATAAAATCAAAACAAATCTTTTTTTTAATAAAAAGTTAATAATATTGATTATAAAATTATTTTTTATATTCTAACAAAAAAATTTTTTACAAACTTTTAATATAAGCTATATCTATTCCAATTCTAATTTTACTCTAACTCTAATTTTAATTATCAGAAATGAGAATACCATGATCTGAAGGATCACGGGATGATTTCGGATGACAAATAAAAGAAGTATCTGGCTTAATGTGCTAACCCGGACCCGACGGGGCTCAGGTTGTCCAGAACATTAAATTCAAAGGCAGATACATTCAATAACGGATTTATTTTTCTTTTCCTGTTCTAACGTGAGTTTGTATGAGTCTATTTGGCATATGGGAACCCCACAGCAAAAGGGTGCAATGGGCCGAAAATTTTAAATTTGTAATTTTATAAAAATTGGAAGCTGATTGTTCTAATTCAAAAAATTGAGTTTAGAAAAAAATTTTTTTTTGGCTCATTGCACCCTTTTGCTGTGGAGGTTCCCATATAACAACTGTTATACGACCCATATTTACTATGAAAAAGAAAAATAATAATCTGTTCAAATAATAAAATTTTTTAAAAAATTTATTATATCAAGAGATTTATTAGTATATTGAGAGAATTTTATATACTGGCATTGAGTTTAACTTCACTATATCGAGATTTTAATTAGTCTTCACTATATCGAAAGTTCACTAAAACGAGAGTGATTTGTAATAATAAAGATCTAACTGTAATTAATACAAAAATTTAATTTGCATAAATCGACTACCGTATTTGCGCGAAATAACGCCCATGGCGTTTATTTTGAGACATACAATTTAAAGAGAACTAATAATTAATTTAACCGAATGCATAACATAATTTTATTTTTAAAAAATCTTTGATGAATTTAATTATCTCTCTTTAAATTACGTGCCTCGAAATAACGCCTAATAAAACTTTGAAAATTAAATTTAATACGTATACTATCACGGATATAAATTTATTATTGTCTAATTTAAATAAAAATAATACATTTATTATAAAACGCACCTATAGTGGTTTGGCACCTATCATATATTTTATTAGATATCATGTTAAGGTTAGTATTTAGGGCTAATGTTATAGTTCGGAGGGCGTAGATCATTTTGCTTAGAACACACCGTACTGATCTGAGACAATGTGAGTAAAACACCAAAGAAGCGTTTTAGTAAAGTGAAAATTATATGTGATATATATATACAGTATATACGTATATATATATATATATAATAGAAATATAATATAAATATAATATTTATTTATAAATTATTTATTTATAAAAATTTTTTAATACGTATTATCAACATTAAAAACAATAAGTTTATTCTCTTGACACCAATGATTTTCCGAAATAAGTTAAACTTAATCTAATGACCGAATACCTGTTTTACCAATAACGCATTTTCTTATGGTTTGCCAAGCTAGATCAAAGAATCTGAAGCTGAAAGTTTTTTATTCAACATTCCTGATTCATTTGATCTAAGCTCGTCTAGTAATAGTTTATTACTCTACCATATATAGATTATCATAGTTGAATGAAAAATTAATACAAATATTTAATATACGTACGTACGTACAACACAAACCATGGTGTTGGGGACCTGCGGATTTTGTGATTTGCTGCGATCTTAAGGGATATATACAAAATTTATTAAATGCATATTATTTGTGAAACACCCATACATATGAGCTGGGTGCTGAGGTAAGGGTCCAATTGACAATTGTTCAAAAATTTTTTTTTTACATCAATCAATTTAGAATAATATTAGGATTATTTTTAACTTAAGACACAAAAGTAGTTATATTAATAAAATTTTGTAGTATACCTCTTTAAAATTTATATTTTCTTATGATTTATTATAAGATTTATAACATAAAAATTGATTTTCTGAAGATCTTTTTTTTTGTCAAATTGTGCCCTTTTCTCAGCACCTAGCCCATATGTAAAGCAGGTTTTTGCATTGAAATTTCATAGTAATATGTAAAATACCCGAGGGATATATCCTATGTAAAAAATTGCTTCATGTATATCCTCGAATTTCGTGAAATGTACTGTACTTGGGTACAGTGATCCGCACTTTAATGTATATAAAAATGAATCGAATAACTACTGCGTAACGGTCAATCAAACATATGATTGTCAGAACCATACGCGTATCAACAAATGATCGCGACTCGAACTCTTTATAAAAACTATTTGGACATTGGTTGTAGTTCTGATCATAATAGAACTTAATTTATCTTGGAATACATTGTTCTTTATGTGCAAGACTTTAGATCGATATGATTCAAAAAAGAAGTTACACGTAAGCCAAGCATTTCCTTAATTTTTTGGAATTCAGATACGCCCCCTCACATAAGAGACTATCGAACCGTTAGACTTTCCACCTATAGTCTTTACACAACTTGTGCTAAACCAATTACTGACATCATCTAGCTAATGTAAGCAGTTACTATGCGCAAAGGAAACACTCCGTGAGTATTCTCCTTTTTAAATAGCAATTTTAGATTTTTTTAGAAAACAAGACCATTTGTTTATCATTAGATTAGATAATAAAAACATTTATCACGTAAATATTTTAATGATTCTTTTTTTTTCTCACCTTCTCAGTTCCTTTTAAAAAAAAGATCGATGGGAAGACGAGTGGAAAAGGAAGAGAGTGCCGTTGTAGAGAAATCAGACTACAAAGGTTTTAATACATTTTCTTTAAAGGATAGCATTCGTGAGAAATGCACGACAATCTTGCAGGCATATGTACCAGATACATACTTTCAATAATTACAAAATTGAATTTGTATCTTTCCCAAAACAAAACCATGAAATTATTTAGGAAAATAAAATGGTTTACGGAAGTACAATGGCGCGCTTAACATTTTCTGCTTGTAAAATAAGCGCGATGAGATACATAAAAGATAGAGATCTATGCACCTTACCCATGTGAATCTACATTATGAAGCATATAAAAGCATATAAAAGCATGACAAGCATCCAAGAACGATAATAATAAATATAGAATAAACAGAGTAGAATTTCTTTGTCTGAAAGTTATCTAATAGTTAAGAACCAAGACGAGTCAGATAATTACCAAATAATCACATACTGATTTGTCCAATGTCTAAATTAATATTAAAATTTTTAGGTGTGTGACTGTGTAATCTTTACGTGGAATGGATAGACAAATATATTTTAGTGGGCTGTAAGAATCGGATGTCGCAAAGAAAATCATATTCTTTTTTGTTTTTTCAAGATTTACGCCCGTGATCGCCACTAATCTAAAACAGTTAAAATAGTTGATCATTATTTTATTTGAACTATATATTGAAATATATTAAGCATATTAAGTATACAAGTATATTAAGTACGTACGTATACAAGTATACGTATTAAGTACAAAGTTCATTCATATATCACTAAATTTAAACAGATTTGTAGATAAAAAAAAAGGTTCATAAATAATATAACTAGTATACATATATAATATAACTACGTAGTATAATGACGTAAAATTATTGGATTAGTCATCCGAATATGCTTTTACTCCTATTATATTATAAAGATGGGCATGAAATCAAATGTTCCTGAATGTGATTAACCTTAACCGAAACCACAAATCAACGAAAATATATACACAACAGATCTTTAGAGAAAAATCTACTGCGAAAAATGCGTGGCTGTTCTAAGTAGATCTAGATTCGAATGTTATTTTATATATATGGCACTAAAATGAAGGCAACTTAAAATGGTATGTTCATGTTTGGATTGCGTTCGGATCAAGTAAACTCTTAGTCAATCGTCACACCAGATCTTAAATATCACTTTCAAAAAACATATTCTTTTGATTGTTCTTACAAAGTTTTTTTTTTAACGGTTTATTATTTTATTATACTTTTCTTATATATTATATCAAGGCTACATTCTTTACGATACATATCTTAATAATAATAGAACAACTTTATTTAACTTTGCCATTGTTCTTGAACGAATCGTCTGATGCATGTCTTTAGCATCGTTAGTTAAGTATTTGTTTGTGAAAGCAAATTGAACACGTTGCTTGTTTGTGGTTCTAAATGAACCAATCATACATCGACATGTTTTTCTTTTTAGATTTGTTGTTCTGCCACCTGATTTTAAATAATTAACGGGAATCATTATTCGCATATTAAATATCTCTCTGCCTCTCTTCTGATAATATAAAGTGGACCCTGAATCCGATTCTACGTAAAAAATTATCTATTCGGTCTACTTCAATCAAAACGGCAGAGAAGAAAATGGTGTGATTAATGTGATGTAGTATTGCATTTTAATACATACCAAATCTATACAATTAATACAATTAATACAATTTAACCTAAACACGGCTTATTTTACCCTATATATTCATTTATGCAATATATAAACGTATATATATATTTATATATATCTATCTATCTATATATATATATATATATAATATCGTTACTGTATACCTTACGTACTTAACATTTTTTGCATCATTCGTAGATAAATAGCTCTTGTGTTCGCACAATACCCTTTGATTTTTTTTCTTCCGAGTCGATTTAGATAACTGGATTTTAAAATTTTATTGATATCCCAAATAGATACGTACTCTATAGTTCCATCATAAAATATCTTTCCGTAAACAATGTTTGATACGGCAGCAACTGCCTTTTCCTATCATGGTTCGAACCCTCAAAGTTCAAAAGGTCTTTTTAGCACTATGACTATTCCATCTTCTCTTTCTACTCAGCTTTTATCATCCTCTTTAGCTATGTTGCCTCTGAGCGGTTATTTTAGTCAACAAGAAAAAGCTTCTCAAAATATATCTTCTTCTAGTACAAGTGATTTGGGTTCTCCAACTGCTCCTCAACAACCAACTCATAATGTCGTTTCTCGACGGGTGGCTCATCAAAAGCAACAACCCTTGCAAAAAAATTCTCTTTCTACGGCCATCGTCTCTAATCCGGAAGCCAGTAACATGGGTAACCTTATTACTGCCAGAGCAAGTCTACCTGCACCCGCAACTACTACATCGAACAATAATCGTCGTAATTCTTTGTCTAATGTACCCGCTTCTCAATTATCTACCGCATCACACCCTCATAGAAGAAAGAAACTTTCAAACAAATTAAATAGAAAGAAAATTGACCAGGCCATTGCTTTCTCTGCCTTTGCAGTAGAAGAAGATCATCAAGGAAATCCTGATTGTGCATTGGATCTCTACTTTCTTGGCCTCGAACATATGCTTGAAGCTCTTCCAAGTATGTATATATATATATATATTTATATTTATTTATTAATCATTCCGTGTGTTATAGTTCAATATTTTATGAACTAAATTTAAAAATTTAAAATTTTTTTTTTTTTTAATAGTTCATGCTGATCAATCACGAAAAGATGCCTTGGTAGCAAAATTACGAGAATTTATGGATCGCACAGGCTTATCTGAAGAATTCAATATAACTGATAATTCCTCAAAAACACAAGTTCCACCCACTACCTCGCAGAGTAATAGGTCTGAAGGTCCTGGAATATCACAACACATAATTCAGGCCGCAATCACAAGCGCTGTAGCACTTAAACAGTCACCAATTCCAGACGCTATATCAGCGACTGTTAATTACACCATGAATAAAATTAAAACTATTGATGAAGCTTACGGTTTGCAAGATAAAGCCTGGGAAATTTCTCGAACTGGAATCAATTTGGCCCTAGAGATCGATCAACAATATAATGTGCACGAAAAAGTTGGAAATGCCCTGTTCGTAGGATTAGCCGCTGCAATGAAGGCTGGAATTGCTTATAAAGATTCGCCTTCATATCGTGATTTGAAAAAAATGCAAGTAGATTACGGAACTGCTGGAAATGATAATACTCTTGCTATTACTGATGAATCTTGACATGAAGTTCACAAGTCGAATTTATCATCATATGATTTAAGATAAAACATGATTTTCTTTGTATGCAAATTATTTTTTCAAAAAAAAAAAAAATTTTCCATCATTGAACATTCAAGGTTTTACAATGATTCTCAGTTTTAAACCAGTTTCTTTTTACCCATACACAAAAAATCTCGGTTATCATCTATGATTTTTCTTTTTCTGACTATACAATTGTTCTGATCTTAATTTTTTAATACTTAGTTTAATTCTCTTGTACATATCAAGGTGTCTTGGAAAAAAAAAATTTTTTTTTCTTATAATGTAATGATAAGAAATATGATTTTTACTACATAAAAGAAAAGTTACGCGTTTTATTTACAATTAATTGGTTTTAGTTGTCAGTTACTATCTTTTGATATAGTCGTTGTCTTTTGACATGTATTTTCCGTGGCGTTTGACTTGAATTTTCAGGTACGAAAACGTATCATCATGTGATCATACAACCATAGTATAAGGATCACCTATCGATCATCACTTCTTTATGCTGCCATGTAATTAATTATTTTGCTCCGAACACATAACAGATCCTGCTTGCTTAGTTCATGGTACTGGTACATAATGATAATGAGGCTCGTGAATTTTGAAAACTCGTATAATGCCACCCATTGTATGCAGGTTTTTTCTATTTTATGCATGTTTTCTCTTATAATACTATTTTATACTGCGTCGATCCAGATTTGGTCTATCGGAAATTTGTATTAGTACCTTTTATTGGGAGGCTGTTTATTTGTTCTTCAAAATCGGTGAAAGCCTAGCTCATAATATAGATCAAAGATATGGCGATAATGATGTTATGCAGATCTATATTGGTCTAGTATTGATTTAATATCGATTTTTTAACATCGATATTGTTTGTACATTTTTATAAAAACTTTGAATAAATAATAACTTTGTTGCCTTTAAATATCTTAAGGTTTCTGCGCAATAAAAACATTATCATGAAAATACAAAATTTATTGTTTAAAGTTCCCCTGACTGCAATGCTCTCCTCAAAGAAGGTTTAAAATTATAAGATTATTCGTACGTACGTACTTTGACACTTCTCCGAATTTATTCTGATGAACAAAATTAATTGATTCACTTTTTTAACGGATAATATAAACCAATAATAAATCACTGCGTCGGCACTTTCCGGACACTCCATGGTATACCACATGCCTGTGTCACCAATCTCTTTCAATAATTTCTACGTATACAAATGCAAAGTAATGATTTTCTTTTCCCTCCTTGCATCTTTCAATCGGAATTAACGTACACAAATAAAATTTTGCTTCTGTTTTATCACTTCATCGCGCCCAATTTTTAATTCGTGCTTTAAAAGATAAAATATTATTTTAGGGATTTTTATTTTAGGGCCATCATCTTGTTTTAAACCAGAATCAAGCCACGCAATCATGCTTAAAACGTTTAAATCCGGCAGGTTTTTTCTTATAAATATGACAGCTTAATTCTGGTTAATCTTTAAGCACAATGACAGCATTATTTTTTATTTTCAAGAATAGTTTGTTAAATCCTTTGTTTACGCATGGTTTATTTTGTCATTCTTTTTTCCTGTTTTCGATGTCTTATTAATCTACTTTAATATTAATACAAATGCACTACGTAGGATGTCTTTTTTTTTTTCTTGTTGTATTTTTAAGAAACGCTAAAATTATCATCACAAATAAAGCATTAGCGTGTATTGACACCGGGTTCACGGATAATTATCATATGTTATCTTATATTCGGAATCATACTAAAAAAATTATACATGTGAAAAACTGCAAATTTTCAAACCTGACACGTAGGCAAACTAATCAAATTTAACTAAATTATATTTGTTTAAAAAATTATATTGTATAGAGTATACAGTACGTATACGTATATGCAATACCTGATACTGTATAATATTTATAAAATTTTAAAAGGTGAGGCCATACTGTATAATATTTAAATTAGTAAAATTAAAATTTTACTATGCAAACTGTTATTTGTAGATTAAATAAGGTTGTTTTTAAAATCAAATACATATATTTTAAGATTTTTACTCGAACAGCTTTATACAATATTAATACGGTTTGGTGTATAAACAATATTTATTTTATTATACTAATTTGCTATTTTTTATAGGTAGATTTATAACTAGAAGTAGAGAATGACGACTGTAATATACAAATATTAATTGTTTTTTAAATATATTTTTTTTTATTTCTTTTAAATACAACTTTAAATCCTAGTTTAAATATTTTTTGGTTTTTACTGTATAAATATAATTTTTTTGATTGTTTTTAAATAAATGTTGCTAAAATCTGGTTTTAGTAAAAAAAACTTTATTATATATAATTTTAAAACTGTTGCTAACTTTCCCGGGGTGATGTTACTTAGAATACTGTATCTCAAAAACCTACTAGCTAATTTATATCAGGAATACTAAATAAAAATGTTTAAAACCTTTAAAAACTTAACTTTAATTAAAATTTAAACCTTTATAACTTATCTTTATTTTTTTAAAAACTGCATTCTAACTTTAAATTTTGTTAAAAATTAAAAGTAGTAACATCATTACTAACTAAAAATAGTTATAAACTAATTTTAAAAAACAATTAATAT